AAATTAAAAAAAAAAAATGAGAAATTATATAATTATTAAATTAACCTTTACTGTTATATTAAACTATGTAATTTGGCGCCTAAACATATCACGATATTATAATAAAAAAAAAGAAGAAAATCTAAAAAAATAAAAATCAGAAATTTATAAAGTGAAAATACGTTTCTAAAATATTTTAATCAAGAGACAGGTTTAATTATAGAGAAAAAAAAAAAAAGAAATCTGAGATTAAAAATAACTCTAATTGAAGGTTATGTAATAATAATTTCGCAACAATTAGACCAATTGTTTTATTTTAGGCAAACTTTTAACAATAAATAAAGATTTCTCACTTTATAATTTACAATGACACGTACGCATAAATACGTCTCAAGCTAATTTATAACTGGCTGTAGCTTACACTAACTTATTTTTTAACTGTATTCCAGAAAAAAAAAAATTTATTATTCCAACTGTAAAGGAACCAAAAATATATTATTATTATTCCAATTTATAAATTAATATAAATATAAATTTATTTTATAAAATATGAAAAATAACGACATAAGATTAGTGTGGTACTTAAATCACTACGTATCACTTACTTATGTTTAATCAAAAATAATTAATTATAATTAAAATGTATGTTTCTTTTAACCTATACCTAACCATATGCACGAAATATGTATTGTAAGAAAAAATAACACGATCGAGAAAATTCCAAATTCAACTAAAATACAAACTATAAGGTTATTGAGTCCAAATAATTACATACATCAACGATTCTCAAAATGATTGACGATATAATCTTTAAAAAAGGATATATATATATATATATATATATATATATATATACATATATAATTAAACCCAGGAACTTTAAAATAGGAACCATCCTATCCTAAACAGATCACTAGATCAAATGACTAGGAGGTCACTATTTTATTTTAGAACTGATTAAAATAAGACAAAGACGGTCTTCGAATAGCCCAGCATCCACTGACCTACTTGTTAGCGTGTTTATGTGTATGTACGTATATGTGTATATATATGTAATTTATAATAAATGAAATCAACTTAATTTTTATGTATTGAAATCTGAACATACCTTTCTGAAAATTTGAAGTTTGATAAAAATATTATAAATTATATATCATGATAAAAATAAAATACTGATGACTTAGTTTTATTATTAAAACGATTTCATTAATAATGACTATGTAAAATGTAAAAAAAAAAAAAAATGATTACGTTTAACAATATAATAGAAGCAATTTAGTGAGGTTAGCTTAGAGGAGCCCCAACAACAATGAAATAACGGTAAAGCTCAAACGAGAAAAAAAAAATTGTTTTGAGAGAAATAGCTTTAATGAAGGCGCACCACAGCATCCATATTTCATTTTAGTCAAAATATTTACATAATTATTAATATTGATATTTTTTATATTATAGGTTTAATATTTTCTTATTTATTGAAAATTAAAATACAAATTATTTTGCAGAATAGAATACAAGGGATACTATCATATCCATTTTATTAAATCATTCATGAATAAATAACGAATTCATTTGCCTGTCGTAATTCCGTTACTAGAAAATAAATGGATATTTAAATAATTAAATTAATCAGAATGACAAATTTATAGCAATATATTTATATTTAAAAAAGAAATGTAATCATAGTAATTCAAAGCAAGTACTGAAATAATTCCTTATAATTCATATGTTAGAATGTTAGTATTCAATATGTTTTCATAAGATTTATATTAATTTTAGATACAGTAAAAAATTAAAATATTTTTTTCTAAAATTTGTAAGTCTGGAAGAAATATGATTTTATGAACTGTCTTCTTCTTATGAATTAGGATTTTTTAATGAAGACTAAAACATTTAAAATATATTTAAAAAAAAAACGAATATCCCAATAATGTTTAAGAAAGATTGGGGTGAAGTTTTGTGTATATATATATATATATATATATATATTTAAAATTATAAAATGATACAACAAAAGTTGTAAGAGTTTACTTCTGTGAATTCAAAATTTTAGATAGTACGTATGTTGTTGGGTGAGTATTACAAATGAAATTGATCGAGTTACATATGTAAAAAAAAAATAAAAATAAATTTAACCATAGATATTTTAAATATAACATTAGATAAACTGACCATAAAAAAGTCCCCATAAGCTTTAATTTTTTTTTTTTTAATTCTCACGAAACATTCTACAAGTAAAACTGTTTACAAGAGACCTACCACATTAAATAAATATCCAATATAAATTTACCATTCACAATTATGAATGAAAAGATTTTAAAAAAATGAAAGAAACTATTGAAAATAAGCATACGTTAGCAATAAAAAGCAATCCATTTTTCAAGACGAAGAAACTTACATTATATACAAATAAGTTAACACACAGTAAATAAATGTATACGGTGTAATGTGAAAAAAAAAAAGTAAACTAATTAACAAATATTTATAAAAGGGACTATTGAATCAGAACATTTCGATTAAAATAAATAAAGTGATAAATTAAACTTTGATTTCTATAACTAACTGCTTAGTTGGCATACGTATTTTTTTCAAGTTACAAATTGAATATTCTGTCTTCAATAATAAATTGTAAAAGGTCAAATATTATTTTAGAAATAAATTAAAGAACATAAATCGGACATTAGAAATTTCCAGTCTATCACCACCGTTTCGAACCGGCTTCGTTTCAGGGCGTGGCTCGCTCAAGTATTTCAAGTTGGCCCAGGCGTACACCCCAGATCTCATCGAACCCACTGTTCACGTTTCCAGATTGAGACCTCGTTAATAATTATATATTATTTTAAAATATATAATTTGCTCATTTATTCTTTACAAAAATACATGTTGATTGTATCATTTGATGTTTTTTTCAGATGAAAAAAAAAATCATACATCATATAATATAATATATATATATAAAAAGAGCTAAAAGAAAATTATGACGAAAAAAATCCAAAATATATTTTTAAATAGTTTAATTTGATAACTTTACGTGATTATATAATATTTTATACCATAATCTGTACCTCTAATAATTAGAGAATATGGGGTAATAAAACAATTAATTAAAATATTTGGAATGCATATATACATATATTTTTGAATTCTTTGTTGTATAGTTCAAAAATTAATTTTTGAGAAGTAAAATTAATAAAACCTTTTTTCTATGTCATTAAAAAAAAAACATAAATATTTACATAACTGCAACAAATCTTAAGAAAATGATTTTATAGGAATAAAAATAATTTTTTATATTACAAGGAGAAAAACTACCATATTGAACACATTCAAAAGCAAAAGAAAGACCTATAAAAAAAAGCTAAAATTTTACGGCTTCATAACCAATAAAAAATGCGTTTTCCTTCCTAGATGGATCTACTGACAGAAAACGCTCAATATACAGTAGTGCCAACTATTTACCAGGGATCTATAGTGAAGAAAAGTGGGTAGGGGCACACCACGGGGGAGAAGGGAAAAAAAAAATTGGTCTTTGTGGAGGGGAAGACTGGTTGTGTTGGTGGTTGTGGAGGGATTCCAGCGTTGCCAAGTCCACCCCGTTTCAACAATTAACCCACCGAAGGCCCTGTGTCCTCCAAGAACAGCGGGCCCACACCGCCGTCCAACCAATCCGGTTCTATGCAAGAAAAATACTTAATAAAACCACATTTTTTCAATAAATGAAAAACATCTTTAATCAAGTTCCATGTGAACTTAGCTCTATGCAATAATCGATTATTTCAAGAGTTATTAACTAAACATTAGGAATGGATCGATCGTTTTCGAACGACCCAGTGTTTAAAATTAAGAGCCAATAATTAAAAACAAAATGGCAGTATTCAAACTTAAGTGCTTCTAATATTTTCTTTAAAACACTATTAAATAAATATTAAAAAGATTAAATCATGTCTAAACAAAAATTAAATATAGAGAAACGAAAAAAATAAGGCAATTACAACTAATAGATGATACAATACGTATATAAATATTAGTAATCATTTATCGATGCGGATTATCTAAGAGATGCAACAGTATAATTCCATTTATTTAAGACTAATAAATAAACTATGATTAAACAAATGATGCTTATAAACAATATTCATGGAAAATGTGTAAAAAAAAAAAGTCTCCAATCCGAGAAATATTTAGTAAATATATCCGAAGATTAATTTATACTAAAACGATGCAGTTTACGTACAGGTTAATTCAACCTACACATATTTAATCATAGTAAAACACAAAAAATAATAAAATAACTCACATGTATGTTTCAACAATCTTGATGAACTGTTAATATTCGCTTTAAAATTCAATTAACTTAAATAATCACAAATAATTAGAACAGGAGAGGTTTAAAACATAAAAATGTCTTATAAAACGACATATTCCCACAGCACCCGTGTATCATATGACAAATATCGAAGCATTGAAGAGAAATTATATGAACATCGATATAAAGTACGTTACCCACGAACTTAATAAAATATAATTTATCACTGGTGATGATAATAATAGGAATAACTAGCGTAATATAGAGAAATATTCAAGTTGGACAGAATGAATCACACCGCATGAGTCACAGAACTGGTAAATTCGAGGGCGTCTAGAGCGAATGCAACGAGCAGAGAAAGGGTAGGTTTTACTTTTAAATGTAATAAGTGTTAATATATAAGTAGGTTTAAGAGGATTTTTGTGATTTATGAATATAATATAAAAATTCTTTAGAAGGCCAATACAAATGCGCAATTGGAGTTATAATGCGTTTTGTAAATGGTGGGGAGAGTTCCAGCCAAGCGTGAAGAGAAGGCACGCCCTCTCTATCCACCATTTTACCGGTAAAATAAAACAACAATAAGCTGAGGAGGTAACAATTATGAGTTGTAAATGGTTTTTTTGAAATTTTAAGTAATGAGAAGCATTCATCATGGCTAGAAAACAAAGAAAGCTTATAAGATATAATAGGAATAATAAAAATTATAATTACTTACATTCAAATGTTGTAAAAAATTTCCAAAAAGTAAGCACTAGTCACCAACCTAACCACCACAAAACTCGATATAGAAACAATACAGTAGAGTGTACTAAGTACTGAGTACTGAGGACTGAGGACTGAGTAGTGTATGTGACGAAAGAAGACCGATCACTGGACTGGTGCTCACGCTGGAGAGTACTCGAGCCGACTGAGGGAGTGGGGGCAGTCAGTCTTGCCAACCCCCTCCCTCTCCAGCCGCTCAGGGGCAACACTGTCTCCTCCTATACGCTCTTCTATACGTTCTCAATAATTACTATTTAATAATTATTATTTTATATTTAAACTCAAGTATACCTTAATCCATTACTATAATTATTTAATTATTAAGATAGAAATAAAACCAGAATAATCATCTTTATTCTGCGACAAAGTCTCCCAAGCATAACAATATTGTTCATACAAATTGTTGATAAATCTAGCCAAAAGACCTATTACAGTAAAGAATAACTAAGATAATCAATAAGACAAATATATACATAGTTATGAAGATATATTAAAGAATGCAGATGAGCAATAGTGTTACAATACTGCAACATTGCTACTAAAAATAATAAATTATAATAATAATAAGTAAGTTAATCAACTGTTCTACATATCATGGGTGATAAATATTCAGGACGCAGTCATTTAAAAAAAAAGTTAAATTTTTTATTTATGCCAACGTTTCAACTCAAATATTTGTTTCATTTTCAGGTCTGAAAAAAAATTTAAAATACAATCAGAGATATAATATTATACGACCAATAATGGTAAATAATAAACTATAGTGATTGATGGTGCATGAATCTTAAATAATATTGCAATACACATATTAAAAATGAAATATGTTTATAAATGGATTATATACATTATTTTTTTTTTTTTAGTTTGTATAACTATTTACATATTTCATTTATATATTAGTTAAGATTCATGTACCATCAATCACTAAAGTTTATTAGTTACCTTTATCCGTCGTAAAATATTATATCTCTGATTGTATTTTAAAATTTTTTCAGCCCTGAAGATGACCCACACGTTTGGGTTAAAACGTTGGCATAAATAAAAAATTAATTTTTTTTTTTAAAAAGACTGTTCCTGAATATTTATCACCCATAAAAATAATAATATAACTAAACTACATCGGAGAGGAACGTTAGGTTATTTTTATGAGCAAACCATTGTAGTGATAAAAAAAAAATAAATAAAAACTAACTGAAGTAAATAAATGATTTACGTCTGTCCCATGAGATGTGTAAGGGAATACTCATAATGATATTGTAAAAAAATCATTACCATAGTTTAACTGCTTAAAAGTTAATAAACCTTTAAATTGTTTTAAAAATATTTCTTTATTGAAACAAATTTCTTTATTGGGTATTATAACAATCTGTCTGTTGGACATTGGTTATAGTTATTGGTTATGACATTCACACTATATGTACAAAAAAAATGAAATAAATAGAACAAAATAATAATCAAAAGTATATACAATAGACAATAAAATAAAATAACCTAAAAAATAAGAAAATTAAAACTAAGAAAAAAAACACGTGCATACCTATTAAATTGTTTTAAAAAAGAAAAGATTTACTAGCATTTAATGTAAATTTAACTTAGTTTCCTATGAAATAATTGGTCGTAACCTAAATTAAATATTTTTTTAGTTATTACACGTTATTGCTCATAAAACGTGGTTGGCTTAAAAATTACAAAATTGAAGTTTCCTCGTTGTCAATGACTTTTAAAAATCATTAGAAGAAAGAAACTTTGAATAATAAATTAAACGATCGAAAATGTTAAAAAAATAAATAAACTTCAAAAAGGTATCGTCTACTATGAACAATATAAATTCGTGGTTTGGAGCAATTTTGGCTTAAAGTGGAACTGCAATAAATATAATCTCATAAATATCTTCTGTAACCATTGATTTCATAAAAAAAATGTACAGAATAATTTTTATAAAGTTTTTAAAGTAATTTAATATTGTACTGAACAATCTTGGGTAAAAACTTCAGTTTCTATGATATTTTCAAAATAATAAAAAAAATATCAGTTTTCTGTTCTTCTCCTCTCTTCCCCTATCAAAAGACGACGCGGGATTCTTTGGGACCTTTTACCAGTTATTATGGGGAACACGGGCGGATCTACGGGGGGGAGGGGACTTTCGGGCTGAAGCCCCCCTCAAAATGGAAAAATATAACCATGTTTTATGGGGAAAATTTTTTTAAAAATACCTCTTAAAGCATTATTGTTCGTGTAATTACATTTAAAAGTACTTAAGGAATAACAAAAAACCATTTCATATAGGTAGTTAGTTTCTTTCTGTTTTTCCAAAGTAATTATCGTTATTTTTATGAAAAAAAAGGTTTCGGGCTGAAGCCCCCACAAAATTAAATCCTGGATCCGCTAGTGATGGGGAAGGCAATGAACAATTCCTGACATATTTTATCTTTTTTTTAATGTTAGGGCCAATTCCTAATTTTACTAGACTATTTTAGCACACTAGTGAATTTCGAAGTGTTTTTTCATTTGGATTAAAATATCTCAGAAACTAAAAATCGGACCTGCATACCTTAAGCGAGAGAAATGTTCAAAATTTCATCCTCTTTGTAATGAGCTATAAGGGAAAAAGATAGCGTCACTGTTGTGCTTAAAGTAGAAAAGAGCCAAGTACATCTGCATACTAAGTCGTAGAATGAGAGAAGAAAAAAAAAAAAATATATATATATATATATATATTTATATAGGTTGAAGTGTATCCTAGATTAGTAAGAAATGAAATATATCTCAAAGAGATAGAATCTTAGGAATAGGAAAAATAAATCAATACAAAATTAATGTTTTTCAAAAGACCACATATACACTCACAGATTTTATTTTATTAATAAAGCATCTCTTCAATAAGATTGGTTTTAAAAAAAGAACCATCTTGTTTAAGATGGATGGATTCCTTGGATGGAAACCATGGAACTATCTTGTTTTAAAAAAAATTAGAGATATGGACTAAATATAATGAAAAAGTAGGTTTTCATATTGCCAAAAAAAGGTTCTTGAGGGTGCTCACTATTTACCGGTAAATTTAAGTTCGGAAACTTTTGTTTTTTACAGAAAAAGTTTAAAGAAATTTCCTTAATCATGTCAGATGCTGGTGCATTTACTCTAAATTTGTTAAAGAGTTAGCACATGCGTCTTATAAACTTTAGTAATTATAATAACATATATAGATATATATATATATATATATTTGATATCTTGATTTAAAAATGACTAAAACTCAGTACCAGAAAGACACTAAAAGAGAACTGTAAATCTGAACCCTCAAAAGGATGGTATCAGATTACTGGCATTGGAGCGAGTTTGTGCAATATATAACATGTTGGAACCTGTAAGTCGGATCTGCCAACTCAGATGGAATGATGAAAAGTTTAAATAAGCAATACAAATGATAACTAAAGTTTTTAAAAGCCTAACATACTAGATTTTTCAAAGATTATTATTTGAAAAATAACATACATTTTTAAAGATTTAAAAAAAACTTAACTTAAAGAGTCTAAAAAGTAAATACATCTTAACAAAAAAAATTTTTTGGTAACTGACCACCGGACTACCTGACGAATTTAATCGATTTATTCATCCTTGTTGCTGTCGATAAATGATTTTTCATTTAATTTGTTTTTGATGAGGATATATAAATAAGTGTATATTTGGTTTAGTGAAACAAAACTTTATAAAAGGTAATGAGAGGAATAAAAATGGTCTTACTTATCCTTTTTTAATTTTTAAAAATCTATTTCAAAAGTCTACGATATGAATATAGCATACGACATATACTGGAACCTTAACGTATACTGAGCTAATCGACGAACGTAAGCCAAGTTAGATGGTAATGTTAAAGAATTTCTAGAGATTTTATCAACATGGAACGTTTAGAAACTTGAATTAATAATTATATTGAATAAAATAATAATCATGTTGATGGACAAATGTGGGTGGGCACTAGCCGATACAGGAGTTAATTTTGAGGGGGGCTTCATCTCGAAAGATTTTTTTTTGTTGTATATATTAGGATAATTACTTCGGTAGAAAAAAAGAAACTAACTATATATATCAAATTGTGTTTAAATGATTCTTTAAGTCCTATTAAATATAATTAGCCGAGCAACAATACTTTTGGAGATATTTTTTTCATAAAACATAGTTATATTTTACCATTTTATCAAAAGCTCTCCCCCTTCGTAGATCCGCCTGTGTGGGTGGGTGGGTGAATGCTAGCCTCGCAAATTGAAGTTTCCTGCCAGATGGCAAACGCAAAACTTTTATTTCACAGGAAGCTGTGGATAGAAGAACGAAGAAAGGAACTGGCAATAAGAAAGACAGCAGGAGTAGATTAGCCTACAGAAAGAATATTTTGTAGAAAATCATGTTAATATATGTAACAAACATTATAAAAATGGAATAAATTATTTAATTTCCATAAATTTAAAATATGAAATCAAATATCATTGACAAAATCGTGGAACAGGTTAAAAACTTTGTTTTTGATGAGGAAATATTTGGAGGAAATATATATAAATAAGTGTATACTCGGTTTAGTGAAACAAAACTTAATGAAAGGAGTGGTAATGAGGAGAAATAAAAAAGACCTAGCATATCTTATTTAAAAATCAATTTGAAAGGTCTATGATCTGGATATTGCATACTGATATAAGAACCTTGACGTATACTGAGCTACTAATCGACGAACAGAAGCTAAGTTGGTGTTGGAAAAAAAATTTCTAGAGATTTTATCATAATAGAACGTTTAGAAACTTGAATTAATAATTATATTAGATAAAATAAGAATCATGTTGATTGAAATATGTAGATAGGTGAGAAATACTAGCTTTGCAATTTGAAGTTTTCTGCCAGATGGCAAACGCAAAACATTCACAGGAAGTAATGGATGGAAGAAGGAAGAGAGGAAATGGCAATAAGAAGAACTGCAGGAGTAGATTAGCCTGGAGAAAGAATATTTTGTAGAAAATCATGTTAATATAGGTAACAAACATTAAAAAAAAAAGAAGAAAAATGAATTAGATTTAGATTATTTAATTTCCATCAATTTAAAATAAGGAATCAAATATCATTGACAAAATCCTGGAACAGGTTAAAAACTTTGGATCACAGTTTTGGAGATCAGCGAACAGAATATTCA